GTGTTTGTGTGTTTTTTAAATATTAGTAAATAGATTTCTATACAGGCATGGGCTAGCCTACTAAACCCGGAGTTTTCAGCCTTGTGACGGTATTTTACCGACATGGGAAATCCCCAAGACGTAAAGTCGGGCGTTCGTTATGAATGCTTGTGTATTTGAAGAGAGAGAAGGAGGAGGAAAAGATACTAATAATTATTGGGGCGAATCACCTTCGGAACCAAAAATTATCTTCCTGCATCTAAAAGTTTTATTGACAATACCCGACCGGCAGATGGCGTGTGAATTAGTTCATATTTATCAACTACATTTAACAGTCTGAATTCTATTTCAGAATTCTCGTGTATAGTTACACAAACGGCCATCTACGTACAGCCGTCCCTAATTTCTAACCGCTATACTAGAGGGAAGTCAACCAGCAACACCATTTGAGATGTAATTGTGGCGAGATGGGGGGGGGGCACATGAACTGCAACGCCCGAGTAACATGTTAATTGTGGCGAGATGGGGGAGGGCACATAAACTGCAACGCCCGAGTAACATGCCATGTGGCCTGATATTGTATCGTATCTTTACACCACATAGGACTGGCACTTGATTGTCAGGTTCTTCTAATATTCTTAGGTGTGTGTTTGGGATGGTGGCGGTATTTGACCCTACTTCTCACACACAATTCGGGTCCCTGGAAGTAACTCCACCCATCGCCAGGGTCCCTGGAGGTAACACTACCCATCGCCAGCCTTCGTGCTACTCTTGTCTCACCTACTAATAATTTGACCCGTCACTTTTATAGCGACCCCAATGTGCAGAGCACGCTTTGGCAGCAACGGGACACAAACCAAAAATCCGTGGACTCACAGTCTGGGGCACGATAGCCACTGGGCTACGTCCAGCCAAACAATCTTCATCAGACTGGCTTAAAAGTTTTGAGCACCAAAAATTAGTATTTGTGAAATATGAATGTGAAAACTTTGGACCAACAAGTCATTCTGAAAGTTTTGTTGGACCAGCTGTCTGTAACGCTCCATTTCTGAAAGTTTTTGTTAGACCATCTGTCTGTAACGCTCTATTTCTGAAAGTTTTTGTTAGACCAGCTGTCTGTAACGCTCCATTTCTGAAAGTTTTTGTTAGACCAGCTGTCTGTAACGCTCCATTTCTGAAAGTTTTTGTTAGACCAGCTGTCTGTAACGCTCCATTTCGGAAAGTTTTTGTTGGACCAGCTGTCTGTAACGCTCCATTTCTGGAAATTTTTGTTAGACCAGCTGTCTGTAACGCTCCATTTATTTATCGATTCCAATTAAATATGGCCTCAATCTGCGGGTTGAGGGTTCGAATCCCCGACCCACCAAACATGCTCGCTCTTTCAGCCGTAGGGGCGTTATAATGTGACAGTCAATCCCACTATTTATTGGCAAAAGATTAGCCCAAGAGTTGGCGGTGGGTGGTGATGTCTAGCTGCCTTCCCTGTAGTATTACACTTCTAAATTAGGGACGGCTAGCGCAGATAGTCCTCGTGTAGCTTTGCGCGAAATTCAAAAACAAACAAACAATTGTTCAAACCTAAGATTATAGTTATCCATATTTATATTTATCAGACTCAATGATCAATATTTTATGACGACACGTCCTGAAAATGAAAAACTTGGATGTTAAAGAGCTTAAGATACGGACAATTTGTTTGTTGAAATTCGCGCAAAGCTACACGAGAGCTATCTGCGCTAACTGTCTCCCTAATTTTCAAATATAGGGAAGATAACTAATTAACACCACCCATCACCAACTTTTGCGCTACTCTTTTACCAACGAATAGTGTGATTGACTGTAACATTACAACGTTCCTGCGGCTGAAAAGGCGACATGTTTCGACCACGCGATTCGCAGATTACGATTCCAGCACCTTAGCCACCAGACCTGGACACGGGCAGAAAGACAAAGAAAGTAAGTACAGCTCGTGAGTACCTGGTAGAAAAAGAAATTTAGAAAAATAAACTTGAACGTAATATCAAATATAACACTAAAATTCTGGTTTGACTCTTGCGGTGGGATGAGAGCAGGTATAAAAACACAAACTATTAAACGATTTCTTCAAGGAAAAACAACTCCTGATGTACTTTTTCTTTATTTGTGATTATTGTGAAGTCATAAATCATACTTTAGTAGCAATAGGTTTTTATTTTTTAAGCTGTCTTCCAATGGATGGATAACAAAATAAAACTAGAATAGAACATGTAACGTAGTTAGTTTGTTAGTTTTCGAACTTTATGAAAGTAATAATAATAAACATCTGAAACTATGAATCTAAAGAATATTTACTGACTGTTCTTTCCAAGGTTATTCTTGAAACTTTTAACATCTGCAACAAAAGCGAAACATCACAATAGTATGTCTGGGCGTGGCCTAGTGTTAGAGTACTGGACTGTGAATCTGAAGGTCCATGTTTCAGATCCTGTTACCGCAAAATCATACACCAAATTTAAGGCCATGGATGCATTATAAGAGTAACAGTCAAATCTCTATTTGATTAGAATAGCCCATGAGCTTGTGGTCACTATAACTATGACTAGCTGTCATCCTTCTAATCATTATTGTTGACTAGCTGTCTTCCTTTTAACTATTACCATTGACTAGCTGTCTTCTAACCATTACTGTTGACTAGCTGTCTTCCTTCTAACCATTACTATTGACTAGCTGTCTTCCTTATAATCATTACTATTGACTATCTGTCTTCCTTCTAACCATTACTGTTGACTAGCTGTCTTCCTTATAATCATTACTATTGACTAGCTGTCTTCCTTATAATCATTACTATTGACTATCTGTCTTCCTTCTAACCATTACTGTTGACTAGCTGTCTTCTAACCATTACTGTTGACTAGCTGTCTTCTAACCATTACTGTTGACTAGCTGTCTTCCTTATAATCATTACTGTTGACTAGCTGTCTTCCTTCTAATCTATCACTTCAAAAATTAGGGATGTCTAGCGCAGTTAGCCTTCGTGTAGCTTTGCGGGAATATCTGAAACAAGCAAGTTGTATTAAATTCTCCCTTCTCATAATGAACGAGAACCTCCTTAAATATGAATCACTTCTAATGTAGTGTGGAGTTTTTTGTTTTACCTCATTGCAAGACGTCTCTCAACTAACACCACAACTCCCATTCGTCGTAACTTCGTTCGTCTGATATGTCACATCGAACTGGCTAAATCTATCGATCAAACAGTTTCATATTATTGTCTGACTTATAAGAATTCAATATTTTGACTTAAGTTGATGTAATTTAATGACGTCGTCATGAGAACATCTAACCTGACACCCCAAAACACAATTGGTACCATCAGAAGAGGAGGGGAAGTTTTTTTGTGGGTGGTAACATAAGCCTTCAAAAGCTGCAATTTTCATATGTTAGGAGAATATTTCTTCTTACAAGATTTATTATCGATTAGGTGTTAAGTTGGATATTTTTTATTCGTTAAGTTTATTGTTTAATTCATATTTAATCGCGTTCGTGTTTAGATCAACATATATTGCCATCATTAAGATGTAATAAACGTGTCTGCACCGTCTTAAAATTATTCAAATATTAAGAGGCCCGGCATGACCAGGTGGTTAGGGCGCTCGACTCGCAATCTGCGGGTTCGAATCCCCGTCACACTAAACGTGCTCGCCCTTTCAGCCGTGGGGGCGTTATAATGTTACGGGCAATCCCACTCTCCGTTGGTAAAAGAGTATTCCAAGAGTTGGCGATGACTAGCTGCCTTCTCTCTAGTCTTACACTGCTAAATTAGGGACGGCTAGCACAGATAGCCCTCGTGTAGCTTTGTGCGAAATTTATAACACACCAAACATACCATCTAATATTAAGCTTCTGGTGTTATTTTTACGACACCTTTAAGTTATTTTAATATGAACTTACGGTCCTATTATGACAACACTTTTAAGTTATTTTAATATCAAACTTCCGGTCCTATTTTGACGACATCTATAAGTAATTTAATATCAAACTTCCGATCCTATTTTGACGACATATATAAGTAAATTTAATATCAAACTTCCGGTCCTATTTTGACGACATCTATAAGTAATTTAATATCAAACTTCCGGTCCTATTTTGACGACATCTATAAGTAATTTAATATCAAACTTCCGGTCCTATTTTGACGACATATATAAGTAATTTAATATCAAACTTCCGGTCTTATTTTGACGACATCTATAAGTAATTTAATATCAAACTTCCGGTCCTATTTTAACGATACTTTCAGGCCAACCATTTCATCTATCTTAATATTACACCTCTCTGCTTTCCAAAAGGGTAACGGTACTCAGTTACGTATTAATAATATTGTCTGATAATTCATGTAAGATTTTACTAACTTTAAAAACTACCTTTAGATGGAGCTGCTGCCATTATTTCGGCAAAATTTGTTGAGTTTGTTAGCAAACTCCATGTGAAAGTTAAACAATATTAACATAAAAATTGTTTTCATGCATAAATATTTACACAATCACAACCTAACTTTTTCAAACATATTTTTTATTATTTTTAGAATATTTTCGTGTATTTATTTGTGTATGGGGGGGATCTCCTACGGTCCCAGTTCATTTGTGTTTATAATCGTGTTGGCTAAAAGAGAATGTAAATTTTCTTTTATAAACTCTTAATTTCATACTTTTTTCAAATAAGATTTTGTTTCATTTACAGCAAACATCCAAACAAATTACAGCAAGGTGTTAAAATTTTTCATCATAATAGTATTTTGATAATTTTATGTTTCACATAATTATTTTAAATTTATCGAATGTGACATATTTGTTTTATTTAAATTTACAGAACCACTTGAACTTACACGTACTAATTAATATTTATATCGTACAAAAGTTATTGATTGTAATGTGTTCGATTTAAAAAATACAACAAACGTTTATTCGATTGTTACAATTATTATAGAAATTAATCTTATCTTATTTTTCTGCTAGAGGGCACCAAAGTTCTGATTGCTGTTTGTTGCCTATGACGCTATCGCTACAGTACAAGTCGTTTGATTACTGCCGAAGTTGTTTTGCGACATAAAAAAGGGGGAACTACTTAAAAGAAGTGCCTTTTACTGTATGAGTATCACTAACTTTCGCTGAACAGTAACATTTAGTCTGTCTTAATACCGTCGCCGAAAATACTGTCTTTTGAAAGAGTTTATAATCAAGTATCGGTGCCGGTAGCCTAAATTATTAGATGTGTATCATAAGCTGTCGTCTGGTGACTTCAACGCAACGCATTTTGTTGTGGGGATTCTCGAACAATGCATATACGCGAATACCGTTGATTTTAGACTACGTTTCGAAAGTCGCCATAAGATACTCATCAAATAAACTGTACAGATGTTACGGGTTAAATACTTTGAGTTCATGTAATATTAAGCCTGAAACCAGATCCTTTCTGCCAGCATGGTTTCACACGTCTACTACAACAAGTTTGTCGCATGCAGACCGGATTTTTATGCCAGTGGAAGAGTTTATTCGCGCAAAAGAGGAGAAACAAATTGGAGAAAATAATAATCAGGATGAAAACAATAAATCAAATAATCGTGTTAGTGAACGAGTGTCTAGGTAGGTTCCTAGTAAACGAGCTATTTACGTTTGGCCGTACCGATTGTGTTCTACTTACTTGACCTCTTGATTATTTGTTTTCACGATAACACTACAGTTTTTTATACGTATAACAGAAGGCCATTTTAAGATATGTTTGTGTGGGTGTATGTGTATTAAGAAAAACTTATTTAGTAATTATTGTTGTTTTACAATAACGATAATCTTTCCGTTTAAGCTTATCAGAAAAAAAATATTTTCATTGTTTGGTATTAACTGTAGTTTATGAACATGCAATCTTTAATCAGTATACATTTCTTTTACAAGCTAGTATTAACATTTTTTTCCTCACAATAAAACATTGTCACTGTACTTTGGTGATCTTTAAACGTTATGTTTTCACTAAAAGACCAAAGCAAATTCACCAACTTTCATTGGAGACTTGGAGAAAAAAGTACTATTTAAAGTTGATCTTCATTATTGTGCTTATAAACCTTTCGTTCTCTATCTTAGTCTTTTTAATAGTTGGTCTGTGTTGTTATATTTATAAACGTTTCGTTCTTTATCTTCAGTCTGTTAAATGTTGGTCTGTGTTGTTATATTTATAAACGTTTCGTTCTTTATCTTCAGTCTGTTGAAAGTTGGTCTGTATTGTTATATTTATAAACGTTTCGTTCTTTATCTTCAGTCTGTTGAAAGTTGGTCTGTATTGTTATATTTATAAACGTTTCGTTCTTTATCTTCAGTCTGTTAAAAGTTGGTCTGTATTGGTATGTTTATAAAAGTTTCATTCGTTATCTTCAGTCTGTTAAATGTTGGTCTGTATTGGTATGTTTATAAACGTTTCATTCTTTATCTTCAGTCTGTTAAAAGTTGGTCTGTATTGTTATGTTTATAAACGTTTCATTCGTTAATCTTCAGTATGTTGAAAGTTGGTCTTTATTGGTATGTTTATAAACGTTTCATTCTTTATCTTCAGTCTGTTAAATGTTGGTCTGTATTGTTATGTTTATAAACGTTTCATTTGTTATCTTTAGTCTGTTAAAAGTTGGTCTGT